TTGGTGGATGACAGAATTCATCTTCATTACACGGAGTTTTTTCCGAGACAAATCAAAGCGAGCTTGCAGCATTCACTTCATACGCACTGGCATTTCCCAGCTCCTTTCTTGCTCTTGTAGATACTTACGATGTGAGTTAAAACATTTTAATAAGATTTCTATTACGGAGTTACAAAGAATAATTCCTCTAACCACTCTACAGGTAATGAAGAGTGGAATCCCAAACTTCTGTGCTGTTGCTCTAGCACTTAATGAACTCGGGTGTGTGAGATTTCTTCCGTTAATGGTAGTCTGTCTTTGATCACCAATGCACTTTTTGAAGGTTCATGACTTTGTACTGCTATGCAGATACAAAGCAGTAGGCATTAGACTGGATTCAGGTGATTTAGCCTATCAATCTACTGAGGCCAGGAAATTCTTTTGCGCCATAGAGAGAGAACTTAATGTGCCTGATTTCGGGAAGATGATCATTACTGCTAGTAACGATCTCAACGAAGAGACAGTCGATGCTTTAAATAAACAGGTATTTCTCAGCTTCACCGTATAATAAAGGCAATTTCCTTATAGGATTCACCTTGAAATCAATCTTTCCTCTCTTAAAAAAGGGCCATGAAGTAGATGCCTTTGGAATTGGAACCAACTTAGTGACTTGCTATGCGCAAGCCGCTTTAGGTTGTGTTTTCAAACTCGTGGAGATCAATAATCAGCCTCGGATCAAACTCTCTGAAGATGTTACTAAGGTTTGGACTCTGGATTCTTTTCCGCATTGAAAGAATCTTGCTTCAAACTTTGACTTCTTCTTGACATAAACCTCGTACACGGTTTTTTTCGTGTCTTCAGGTATCGATACCTTGTAAAAAGCGTACTTACAGATTATTCGGAAAAGAAGGTTACCCTCTGGTTGATATAATGACCGGAGAGAACGAACCACCACCAAAGGTAAAAAAAAAAAAAAAAACCTTGTTTTCAAAGATTTCAAGCCTTGAAAAGTGAAGATTTGAAGATTTTCTTAGTCTTTTAATCTTTTCTGGATTTAAGGTTGGTGAGAGGTTACTTTGCCGTCATCCGTTCAATGAATCGAAAAGGGCTTATGTGGTGCCACAACGCGTGGAAGAGCTTCTGAAATGTTATTGGCGTGGAAATGCAGGTTAAAACAGAGTTTTTCAGTACTTTATGAGGATTTCTGACAATTGGTTACTGACTGATTATATTTTGCTTTTCTCTTCTGGCCATGAAGATGAAGCTAGGGAAGAGCTAGAGCCATTGAAAGAGATAAGAAACCGCTGCATCAAACAGCTTGAAAACATGCGTCCTGATCATATGAGAAGATTAAACCCTACTCCTTATAAGGTAATATTTATCCAACAAACACTCTTGAGAAACCCTGTTTTGTATCATGACCTCTCTGAGAGAAAACCTAATTGTTTACCTACACGTACAGGTTAGTGTCAGTGCCAAGTTGTATGACTTCATCCACTTCCTCTGGCTCAACGAAGCTCCTGTCGGTGAACTGCATTGAAAATTTACGAATATACATATAGTTATAGCCTCAGATTAGCCACTTTCTGAGTTCTCTCTTACACTGATCTCACTCTTTTTACAACACCATTATCTAAATAGACTTCTAGTCATCAACATTCCTCAGTTTGTTTTCTTTTGTCAGAATAAAAAAAAATTCAGAAGATTCCGTCTATTTCTTGAATGTTTGGTCATTTCGTGGAAAATGTATGAATGGAAAAGTAAAATCATTTATGTCACAGCAAAACAAACTTAGCTCACTGAGAAACTATCACCACAACAAGAGAGTCGCCGCAGAGATCATAACAAGAGGTGACAATCCAATTGCCTTAGAATCAGCATTACCCGCCGGAAGACCTCTCCGATCTGGTGAAGACTCTCCTCCAGACTCTGGTTTTGGAGCTGCCTTGGGAGGAGGAGCATCGCATGTTCCAAAAGGTGCGTTTGTCTGTGTGCATATATATATATATATATATGCGAAAACACATTTATCATCACTAGCTCAAGATTATGTGTATTGAGACAAAAGACTGATCTAAAGGATGAAGAATGTGTTTTGTGGTAATGTAACGTACCTTGCAAAGGACTAAACTGTCACAACCACATGTGAGACGACCGTTGGCTTGATCTACAGCTTCTGCAGCTCCACCACCATCACTCCTCTGCGATATTCATCAATTAGCACTAAAACACTCTGAAAATTCGCCACTTCTACAAAGGAACAAACTTTTACAAAACGTTAGATATGTCCAAGGATCACCTGGTAAAAATCAACCGCGATGAAGTTAGGCCATCTTTTACCCGCTGCTTCATGACAAGTTATCATCATTTTGCTCAACGGAGATGAATTATCCGCGCACGCTTGCGTTGAATTCGGATTGGTTCCAAAGTAGTTTTGGAGAACCAAAGAACGAGACTTGGTATCCAATGGAGAAGATTCATTTCGATTGAAGCATGATCCATCCTTCAATCCTTCATTACCATCTACACATAACAGCACAAACATCATCTTGCGAATGCTATGGTGGTCTCAAAATCAAGATTTTATGTTTGGTTCAAGATCTTTAAAACCCCACATTGGTTTTCCACCATGTAATCCCACTGGTAAGCAAAACCTTCTGAAGCTTCTTTATTCTTCTTGGAAGTGAAAACCACAAGCCTTTGGTTTTGCTTCACCATATCATCCACTGTGGGCCAGTCCGTACCGTCTTTGGGCATTCTCGAAACCGGGAGCTGGAACTTACTCAGTCCAGATGCTTTGAACACCTTACAAGAACATGATAAGACTCTTGTATTAGCCATTAGATATATATATATCGAAACAGTAAGTGTCAAAAGCAATTGGGCAAAATGTTCTACCTTAGTCAAGCCCTGTGGAGATTTGACATAATCTTCGAGGATGATGGTAACTATCTCAGATAAGTTTGATTCAAGAAAATCATTGATCTCTTTAAGCACATTGATAGCTGGTTGCTGCAGGTTAATTCGTTAAAAAACCACCCCAACTTAATCAATTTCTCTGACTCATATACAGATTCAATATTGATTCAATTACAACTTACAAAGGCAGTGAAGTTAAAGCAAGTCCCTCCTGTGGAATGACACAACCATATATCGTTCTGAAAGTCATATGTATCCAGCATAATCCCTCTCACACCATTCTACAACAGAGAAAAAAAAAAGAGAGTCACAATCCTAACTTCACATTTCAACATGTAAAAGAACTTTTCATTAAAAAAAAAAAAACATGTCAAAGTCTCAGAGAACAAAGCTTTGAGGAAAAGGTCAAAAATTGAATTATGAACTGGGTTGATTACGTGGAAAAGAATAAAAAGGTTTGATTGATCAAACCCACCAACTAAAGCTGACATTGTCTTTTATTAAAACCAAAGGCAACGAAGAATCTTGCAACTTAAGTCAGATCCCAAAATTAGCAAGAAAAATTCTACACGAAGTTGTCAAATAAAAAAAAGAAAATCGAAGTATGAGAATTTTGAAAGAGAGACCTTAAGCTGATTAGTGATGGAGTCTTCTTGATTCCTTGGTGAGATGAGGAAGGAGCCAGTTTCCGAATTTGCCCCCGTGATTGAATACGAATTGTGTGTCGTTAGCCACGAGTACTTGTTAAACGGCAAACCATTCACCTACCCATCATCAAAACCACATGCATTCCATCATTAATCATAGTAGAAACGGAAGAGAAGAAAGAATTCAAGAAATCTGAAACCGGTTCAACCTTGGAAGTCGGGTTGAGAGGTCGGATCCGGGTACAGATAGACCCGGTATTTCCGTTCGCCGGGCAACTCTGGCAACTCAATCCGGCGTCGCATCGGCTGCTCGAGCTACAAGTTTCTCCCATCTATGGATCGCAGAGCAGAATCATGCTCTCTGTTACTAATTTTCGAAAACTTCTAAAAAGATTCGTAAAACATTATAAGAGATTTGCGTAGAAAAACCTCGAGACTGTGAACGAAGGATGATAGACAGAAGGCAATGATCATCAGATTCAAGAAGCATTTGGGGAAGAAATTGGAACCCTGCATTTCAAAGATTAGACGTCACGCGAAAGGTTTTAGAGTTTCTTTAAAGCAAGAACATGGAATAGTAGAAGAAGAAAGCGATAAACAAAACCTCCATATTTGATGGGGTTTTTGTTTTTCCGTTGGAGAAGAAAGATAAACAGAGAGGAGACGGTGAAGTGAAAATGCGAAAGGTCTTCACAAGTGACGAAGAGATTAATGATGATGTTAATCAAAAACGCGGCGTTTGGTTGACAGTTGTTGTTACTTTTGTGGAATTTCCTTGATTAAGACTTTTTATTATTCGGATTCTGTTTGTCGTTTTAAGGTGATGATTTTTCTAATTCAATAAAGTAATATATCGCTGATAATTTGGTTTTGTTTTTAAATACTCTATGCGCAATAATAATATCATGTTGATTACCTGAATTATGTTAGACCGAGTCATTTTTGAACTTTATTCTTGTACAGATAGACACTAAACAATATCATATTGAAACAAATAATAGTATCGGTGACTAAGATGCATAGGAGTGATTATCCACGTCGAGGTAAACTAAGACAAACAGAAAAGTATAACATAAATTAGACTACTATCATTCAAACAAAAAAACATAAATTGGACACACAAAAAAAATACTTCTCATCACTCATGACTCAACTACTCACTTTAGCTAATTTTTTTTTAATATGGTTCCAGCCCATTTTCTAGCCCAATTATTCAATTTATTAAAGACGGACTTGGGGGCCCAAATTGTACAGTTGAACACCTTTTTCGATCTTCCCTCCTTCCAGCTCAATCTCGCCACTAATTCGGTTGGCTCAGGCTGAAAACCAAACCGAAATCTTCCTTACACATTACTGTTTAACTATTCATGGCCTTTTCTAATCCCAAAATTTAATCCAATCTTTTGCTAAATCATTACACTTGGAACGTTTAACACGTGCGAAAACCAGAGCTATGAGTCCATGAATTACAAAGTTTGGTGACTTAAATTAGTCGGTGGGCAAAAAATTCTTCTATCCTTCACGTCTGACAATTACATATTAATATTAGTAATAAAATAGCCGACCAATCATAAATCCAAGTTCCGAATTAAGAATGTCTGTTACAAAACATTGATTGGTGTGTAACAGTGAAACAGGGAGTTAAAAATGGCAATTTCAACTCTCCGTTCTTTCAAAAATATTCTAATTTTTTTTACATGAGTCAACGAGCTAATTAATAAATATTATATCAGGACTTTTAATTAACCCATAATTAATCTCCTCCCTATGACTTCCTCTTTCTCCACTAAAAAACTACTCCCATCACCTGACGTTGACCCAATCACACGAAACCGACCAATCAGGTGCGTTCTCTGTGACCAAACCACTGATTCTCTCCTCCGGCGAACGTACCAAAAAACTAAACGGCGAATAATAAACCGGTGAACCAACCGTTACCGAATCGTTAACCGGAGATTGAACCGAATTCCAATCGGGAAAATCGAAAGGATCTCTCGGCGAAACCGAAGCCTCGTCTTCTTCGCCATACCTCAACGAACCACTACTAGTACTTGTACTACTAGTCTCATCACCATCAACGGCTAAGAATGGATGATCCAAAAGCATCTGAGCCGTCCATCTCTCCGCCGGGTTTTTAACGAAACATTTCCTCACGAAATCTTTTCCTTCCTCCGACAATCCCACCGGAATCCTAGGAACCTCCTCGCCGGAACCGATACGAACCATTAAAGACATTACATTCGTAATCCCTTCCTCCAAACACCATGCCGTTTTACCACTCGACATCTCAACTACAGAGCATCCCAGTGCCCAAATATCCGCCGGAGATTCGAATTCGCCGTGATTAACCGATTCCGGCGCCATGTACAGAGGCGTTCCTCTGATATTAACCCTAATTTCCTCCCCAAATTCGCCTCTCCGTTTCGCTAACCCGAAATCAGAGATTTTCGCATCTCCGTCACCGAAAACCAAAATGTTCTCCAGTTTCACATCGCAATGAGAAAACCCATTCGCGTGGATATGACACAGTCCTTTAACAATCGATCTCGTGAATCGACGGACATCGTATTCCGGCAACGCCTCGCCGGATTTCTTAATCCTGGCGCCCAAATTGCCACCGGAAGCATACTCCAGAAACAAATTGTAGATCTCTTCTCCGTTCTCCACCGTCTTTCCTTCTCCGAAACACCGCACGATCTCCGAACACTCGCCGAGATCATCCAACACGTCTCTCTCGTTCCTCAACGCGGCTGAGCAGACCACTCCGGACGATTTCACAGCCATCAACGCCGGAAATCTCGTCGAGCTCCCAGAGGTAGTGGCTAAACTAACGGTGGAGAAACTCCCGTGACCAATTGTTTCTCGACGAATCCACTCCATTAATTTAAGCAAAAAGAAGAAGAAAAAGAAGAAGAAGAAGAAGAAAGTCTATGAAACAGTTTCTCTCTACTTTCTTCTGCAGCCCTACTTCTACTTTTTATATATACTCTCTACATTTCTTTTCCCATTTTTGTTTTGAAAAATAATAAAAGAATAAAATATGTAAAGTTTGTTGTGAACACTGTGTTGTTTATTAATGCACGTGATATAAAGCTTATTACAGTATTTATTTTTATTTGACAAAATATGAAAATTCCTCATGGCCAGGAGAAGAAATAGCGGCCAGTAAAGAAAACGTGGGTGGTGAGACAACGAAGACTCTTGTTTGTTGCCTTCTACTCGTATTTGATTTATTTCTTCTTTGCCCTACGCATCACGCGCTTTATAAAAGAACTTAAAAAAAAATATCGTCGATGAAAATATGTATAGCCAGAGCCGTGCTTAGCTATAGCACCATAAAAATTAAAAAGTAATAATCTAGTGTTGATCATAATTCTTTTTGAATAAATTAGTTTTTATTAGTGTAATTGTTTTATAATTTTTTAGCTATAAAGTATAAATTACGCATACTTGAATTCGATTATGTTTGTTTTGTAAATTTATTGAACTCGTTAGTATTTATGTTTGATTGTTTTTCTGTTTTAAATAATTAAAAAGTCGTAGTTCTACACGTTTGTTTGAAGATCTACCATGTGATTCGCGTTTTTCTTAAGTAGCGTAAATATCGGATGGAAGATCCTTTCCATTTTTCTTTGAGATTCTATATTTTGTTTTCCCTGTCGTGTGAGGTATTTATATGGCTGTAAAATATTGGTTATTATCTTAAATAAATAATAGAATGGTCATTACAATATTAGGGATGATGAGTGATTCCCTCTCCTATAAATTGTGTAAATTTAAGAAAACGACTGTGAAAATCTCATCCACATAACATTATCAACATGTGCATATTTTAGTAGATACTCAATATTGAATTACTTGTTTTTTCTAAAAATAATTCCCCACAAATTTGGTAGTCGGAAATGAACTCACATTCTTGTGTTTCAAAAAGTAATATCTTGATTTTTAGTTTACTTAAGCTAACTTCCAGATATAGAATATAATCAGTTTAATTTCCGTTAATATAAATAACAAAGGAATATCCATGAAACGACATGTTGCTAGTTTTCTTAGGTTGTTAAAGAAACTAATCACATACGGTATCCCACATCTCTTCAATGCAAAGAAATGTGATAGACAATAATTAGCAAACATAAAACACCTTTTTATGATAAGTCCACATTAGTATGATAAAAATATAAAAGACATGTTAACATTTGATCAAAGTACCAGAAAGTACAATGTTAATCAAACCCCAACAGAAGAAGCGTAAGGTCCGTATAAATATAAATATAGCTATGCTTAGTGTTGTTACTTTACGTGGTATGAATTAAAACCAAAACAAATAATATAAAACGGTGTGAACTGGATCCCAAAAACAAAATAAAAAATAATAAAATGGCGTGAATTTAAGAAAGACCCGTAGACGACTGAAATGGGCCAAGTTTTTTCACACGGACGTTATATAACTTTGACGTGGCCATTTGATTTTGTTCCAGGCGAAGTATTGGTCAATGATTAAAACGATAACAATTGCATGGCGACTTCTGTCTTTTATTATTTTAAAATCGACCGTTTACCATTATTAGATGCACCAACCTTCACCGATTATGATTAGAGTTTTATGCGGTGTATTCAAAAGACTTTCGGTTGCTTTGAGTGTTTGAAAATAAATGTGGGGAATCAGTGAGCAGAGAGGGTTTAAGAGTTAAGACACAGTTAATTACGCTTTCGATTATGTGGTTTTGTAAATTTAACTCATCAATATTTATGTTTAATGTTTTCTGTTTTAAATATCGTTTGAATATCAACAAATATACACAATTTTATAAGTATATCCGATATTTGATATCTCAGGTGTTTATAATCTTTGAATCCGAATCCATGTAACTAAAAATAGTTCTGACTAATTCAGAACTAAATTTAGATTTTGATATTCTTAATTTCTAAAGTATGCAATTATGAAAATGGCATATATCATACTCTTTTTTTTTTTGTCGACGGCATATATCATACTTATACAGAAAAAATTTGAAATGATCCAATCATTGGTTTTTATTAATTTTAAATCTTACGATAAATAACGATACATATATATCGATGTATCATTGTTTATCTACGCAACAACATTTGCCATTCATTGGGGGGCTAAGAAGGCAATATAGTAAAGAGTGATCCTCATCAGGGGCTGTGCATATGTTCTTGCAGTCGGCATCCGTTTTACAAGGGCCTTTGTAGTGACATGTGGCTGAAAAAAATATTTAAAACAAATAGTTTGAATTAAGTGATTTTATGTAGCATTTTTTATGTATAAGAAGAAAATTAGAGGAAGAAAACGTTACCAGTTGATTGAGAAAAAAGGAAGAAAAATGATGAGGAGCAGAGAAGCCAGTTGAAACTTTTGTGCTGACATTATTTCGTAAGGATAATTTTGGGGTTTTCTTCTTGGTTTTAGAGCAAATGGGACTCTTTCTTTATATAAGGAAGTGGATGGGTTCATCCATACCTAAAATTAATTTCTTAACAAGTAATATGTAATTGCAGTAATGTCTAACATATCCTATGAAATCTTGCATTAATTAGATACCATATTTACTGAAACAAAATTCCAAAATTAAATTAATTAATTTATTATATACCATAAATCTTGCATTTAATTATATATATACCATAAATTCTTTATGTCCAATGCCATATATGACAAACCAGGAGATCCGGTCAAACAGAAATAAATTATTACAAACCAGACCAAAAAAGTATAATAAAAAGTAAAAAATATAAAGAATTAAGTATCACCGAACAAGAAACTCCAAAGTTGTTGTGAAAACTCAGAAACTTTATTAATCACTGGAATGTATATATAGAGTACATAGGGAATCTAGGTTAAGTACAATGCCCTGATGGGCCTAATGGGCCGGTATAAGAGTCCATATATGATATGTGTTATAACACTCCCCTTTGGACGAGTGAACCGGGTCAGATACTCAATCGGGATCTCGATAATGCGCTGGGGAATGTTGCCTCATTAAAACCTTACCAGGAAAAACCCAGTGAGACAAAACCATGGTGAAGGAAAAAGAGTACAACACGCATTACTCCCCCTGATTGTAGCATCACTGCAGATCTCTAAGTCTATACATTCCTATCTGTTTGACGAGCTTCCGGTGTGTTGAATTAGGCAATGATTTGGTGAAGAGGTCAGCTGAATTCTCACTGGATCGGACCTGCTGAACGCTGAGAGTGCCGTCCTTCTGCCAGTCTGAGGTTGAGAAGAACTTCGGTAGAATGTGCTTCGTCCGATCTCCTTTGATATATCCTTCCTTGAGCTGAGCTATGCATGCCGCGTTGTCTTCATACATCACCGTGGGCTGTGTGTCTTCGTCCATACCACAATCTCTGCGGATGTACTGAGTCATGGAGCGCAGCCAGACGCATTCCCTACTAGCCTCATGAATGGCTAGGATTTCAGCATGGTTTGATGAAGTGGCAGTGAGTGTCTGCTTCATTGATCTCCAAGAGATGGCTGTTCCTCCATGCGTAAAAACGTAGCCAGTTTGAGACTTGGCAGTGTGCGGATCTGATAGATATCCTGCATCGGCGAAGCCGACTAACCCATCTTTATTTTGGTTAGTATAGAAGAGTCCTAAGTCTTGAGTACCTCGAAGGTATCTTAGGAGATGTTTTATACCGTTCCAGTGCCTCTGAGTTGGAGATGAACTATATCGAGCGAGGAGGTTCACGGCGAAACATATGTCTGGTCTAGTGTGACTAGCCAGGTACATTAACGCTCCTACAGCACTGAGGTATGGCTTTTCAGGACCAAGGATTTCTTCATCATCCTTTTTGGGACCAAGAGGGTCATCACTTAAGCTTCTAACTACCATTGGGCTGGTCAATGGGTGAGCTTGGTCCATATTAAATCGCTTGAGTACCTTTTCGATATAAGCCGATTGATGCACAAGGATTCCTCCTTTGATGTACTCAAGTTGTAATCCCAAACAGTACTTTGTTTTGCCTAGGTCTTTCATTTCGAATTCTGCTTTTAAGCAGTCGACTGTTTAGGAGATCTCACCAGATGTTCCGAGGATGTTTAGATCATCCACGTATACTGCTATGATTACAAATCCTTTGTTTGAGTACTTCTTGATGAAGATGCATGGACTGATGGGGTCATTTTTGTAGCCTTCTTTGATGAGGTAATCGCTGAGGCGGTTGTACCACATACGCCCACTTTGTTTCAGTCCATACAAGGATTTGTTCAGCCTGATGCAGTATTGATCTCGAGATGCATTTTTGTCTTTTAGTTCAATGCCATCTGGGAGTCTCATATATATTTCGTTGTCCAGGGGCCCATAGAGATATGCGGTTACAACATCCATTAACCGCAGATCAAGATTTTCTCTTATGGCCAGACTTATGAGGAATCGGAATGTTGTTGCATCCACCACTGGAGAATAAGTCTCCTCATAATCGATTCCGGGTCTCTGTGAGAATCCTTGTGCTACAAGCCGTGCTTTGTATCGAACGACTTCACCGAGTTCGTTCCTTTTGCGCACAAAGACCCATTTGTGGCCCACTGGCTTGATGTGTGATGGGGTCCGGATGATCGGACCGAACACGTTTCTGAGTTTGAGACTCTTTAACTCCACGTTTATGGCTTCTTTCCATTTTAGCCAATCTGTTCGATGTGTACACTGTGTTATTGACGTGGGTTCTAGATCCTCTTGCGTGAGCGCAACATCAAGTGCTACTTTGTATGCAAAGAGTGCATTTAAGTCGACTTCTTTTCGATTCCATTGTATTCCGGACATATTGTAATTGATGGAGATCTCATTGTTATCTTCTGAACCTGGAGATTCGGCGTCCCGAACTTCCATTGAGGGTTCATTAGATTGAGTCTCAGCCGCGGCTATGTCTGATATTGCAGGAATCCCGGTTTCGGTTATTGCACCTTTCTTTGATTTCCGGGGATTCTTATCTTT